TTTAATTGATTATCTAAGTTTTTTAGTTTCCGTCTTTCCATATTTTTTTTAAATATCTCTAATTTATGTTTCAAATATACTTCGTGCTGGTTGAGCTTTCAGACTGATTTCGTAATAGGAACGTGCACGCAACACAACAGCGCAGTATATTTAGAATGCTTTGGCACGACCACAACACGCTATCATGTAATTTTCAGATCAGCTAATTGCTGCACATTTTTCGATTCCTTGTATAGAAGCAAAGTGGAGGTAGCCTTAGTTCAGGGGATGTTACAGGAAAAAATTTGTGCCACCTTTGGGTTCTAAACTCCGCTCTTTAAAATGCAGCGCAGTCTAGCAAGAAATTGCGCCATTTAATCCACTTTCCTTTATTTAACCAAAAGCAAATTTTTTGTGCTAATATTCAGTCAAGTATCTTTTCCTTATGTTCTTTTCATTATCAACAAGTTATGTTATATCGAACTATAAGATCAACAATATTGAATTTCGATAACAATGTATCATGAAAATTAATTTCGTTTTGTATTTCAGAGGCTGATACGGTAGCACTTTGGATGCGTTGTATTTGCATAATTTTTCGTTACGTCTTTCTTGTTTTTGTATCAGTATATGATTTTGTAGTTAACATTTAGCACTGGTGGGAAACTAGTTTTATTCCGCAAGCAGTAGAAACTAGTTTTGTATTATTTCATGCATAAATCATTTGATTTTTTAATGGAAATTTCTTTAAGCGGGAATTGCGGACGTTAGACGGACATATTTTGTAGAAATATGATATTTCTATTACTTTACTATAAGGTAAAAAAGAGTGTCTTAACAAAGTGTTGTGTGCACTTTTGAAAGTACCCTTCACTTTTCTGTGGTTGATGTTACATTGCAGTGAGGTGACTTATAACGCATAGCGATTCCGAAGGTCTTGTTACGACGTTGTTTTCGGGTCGCATTTAACGTACAGTTCACTTTGACTGACCTGATAGTTGATTCTCCAATGTTGTAATCAGCGATAAGTATAATTCCTGTTATTGTCGTGTTAGATGTTGGAAAATCACTCTCTTAATTATCCTACCCTATTTGGCTGTGTGATCAAGATTCGGTGATCAATAATTTTTTTCTTGTCTGATTTGTTATGAATCAGGTTTGCGAATCTTGCATTTCTCTCACTACGTTTACTATTTAATTACTTCCTGCAGAGGGTAAGTAGCATAATGCATCACAGCGTTCTCTTCTGGAGTAAATACAGTCAGCGTCCGTTGCTGTTTTATATTTAAAGAGGATGTCATCATGAGATATGTCAGTCCTTTTGGTACCGTGTGTGAACCAGATTCACCTTATTAAAATTTTATTCGATGAGGAAATTGCGGTAGGTAATGGTGATGTACTGTGACCCATTATTGCTTTTTCTTCAGTTTGTCGTCTCAACTCTGGATCTATTCATTACGTAGAACAGATTCTCGGGGTCCTGCTGAACCGCTAATTTGACAAAGGTGATTGACAGCAGGGTTGTAGTAAGCTAGCTGATCGTTTGTGCCCAGACTTTCAATAAGTGGCCAAAAGATCTAGAAAATGCCACCTCCATGTTTACCTTACTGATTTTATTAGGCTTTAAGAACAAAGTGAACAAATCCAACCGTTTATTTATAAATGTGGAGACATCAGAAATATGTGATGTTCCCGGCTACATTGCACGTTTTTTCCACCCGTTTCCCCTGCATCTAATGTTCGGATTCCGTTCATTCGCTGTATATTTTCGTAGAAGTCGATCAGCTTGTTTTTTTCGGATACCTGCTATTTGTGAATTAAATTTTTCATCGCTATAGCTTCTTTCTGGTCATCCGTGCTAGTGGATCAGCTGGCTTTCAAATGACGGTTGTTTCTTCCTGATTTTCTTGCTTTCGTACCAATCGCAAAAATCACCTGATGCATCTGCTTCTGCAGAATCTGGCCGAGACTCGGCTTTTTGGCTGAAGTTTATACCATGGTATTGTATTGGGAACTTTGTAGGCATTGTCTGACGTTGCTATGCTGCCGCAGTGACCAGTGATTATAAGCAGTCACTGAAACTGACTGATTGAGTGACGGATTAACGTGAAGGTGTGACGAGGTTCATCAGTCTCTGGATGCCACGGCCTCTTCCTCCTTTGGATATAAATTTATGATATCTTCAACGTGGCAAAAGGAGTTGTAATATTTTATGTATGTTTTGTTGCTTCCGCGAAGGAACTACTCCTAAGCGACTGCGTGTCTCTGTGTATTTTATCTTACATGTGCAGCTCTCCTGGCCAAGGGGTGCAGTTGCCTTACTTCCATAGGAGGATATGATGTGCCAGCGTTATTATGGCTCTCATCGCAGCTCGGTCTCGTTACACAACGATTTCGAGGACTGGCCTTCAGGGTCATCGCGGTGCGCTCGACTAGCGTAATGGTTATACGGTAATTATTAATCAGCCTGCTAAAGTTGGTACTTATTCAAGCATCATATAGTTGCCTCGTCTGAATAATGATCCATTCTTAATGATGATCATTGCTTCTGCTGTTGTATTCTATTCATTTGCCATTTTCTCTTAGAAGATTAGAGGTAGTAATAGGTTATACTAGTCTTTTACAGATCTATATGATAAGCGTTACAGTATTATCATGAGTAAGTGAGTGGTTTGAGCGTTTCCTTCCCGATTTTGACCTTAGATCCATCTGATCCATACCTTTCACTGGTCGTATCATTCATGTGACTAACCTGCATAGAAGTTCTCTGTACTAATGAGGTCAGTACTAATGAAGGCCTACTTCCAACAATATGTTGGTCAGTACTGCTTTTTCTCTAGGATTATTCAGTAGGAAGTCTTTCTCTGTTTGCTTCTCTGTCTTGCATAAACTTGAGTCTCGTTTTCTTCAGCTGATCTTCAGCATTGCCACACATAGCTTAATGCGATAATCCACTTTGAGAAGTATATTCTTTCAGTTTTATGTCCGCCGTCCATCGGGAGTGCGTACCATTAGATTTTGTTGACATATTATAGTAATGGTAACAGCATTGATAGTAGCTAAATCACGTTTAGGAGTATTGTCGCTGCGTGGTCACAAAGCACATCGTCTATTACTTTTCCTTCTCAGTTATATGATGACATCTATGAGTTCTGTCCAATCCACCAGCATTGTTTTGTGCTTAGCAGATTGTGTAAAAGCACAGACATAATTCATACATGCAAAAATGAGCGAATAAAGCTAGTGTCCTAATGTCTGAATATCCCTTTATTATGTCATACTGATGGAATCTTCGTTACGTCTGCAGTCAGAAATAACTCGTTTTTATCGTATATCCGCATAGCAGCTTTCTTGCCTCCACATCTTCTACAGCGAAATACTCATCGACTTGGCTGCTCCTGACTTGGCTCCTCCGTCTGCAACACAAGTTGGAGATGAGACAAGACACAGCCTTGGCGGAGACCAGTGCCAAACTTGAATGGCATCGATTTAACACCTTTTACTCTGACGTAGCACCTGCTGTCAGAATACAGTGATTGGATGGCCCTTGACAGCTGGCCATCTATCCCTTATGCTCGAAGACATGACCACAGACTGTTCCGCTCATAGGCTTTTTCTAGGTCAACAAAACACATGTACACCGCGTGGGCAAACTCCCGCGATTTCTCAACAATCTGGCATGGGTCGAATATATTGTCGACCGGATCAGAAGCTGCACTACTCTTTTTGTATCTTGGCTTTAGTTATTACGCAGCACCTCCTCGCACCTTTGCGTAGACCACTCAGAAGGCTCATTAAAGTAATGCCTCATTAATTAGAGCATTTACCGTGGTCTCTTTTCTTGAATGGGGGGGGGAGGATTATCGCCCCTGTTCTTCATTCCGCTAGTGTCTTTCCCGCACTCATCGCAGTTTGACAAACACGTGTAAACCAGCACATGCCTTGTTCGCCTAATGCTTTTAGCATTTCAGGACGGATTTCGTCAAATTCAGCAGCCTTTCCACGTTTCAAGCTTTTCACACCTTGTGTAATTTCATCTACAGACATCTTTGTAATATAACATTTTCATTTACCTTGTGTAATATCATTTCCCTGCTGCTTTACAGGCGAGTCTTCCCCCCGTTTCGCGGGGTAAAAAGTTCCTCAAAGTACTCTCCAGCGCCGAAGAATGTCCATATCCTCATTAAGAGGGTTCTTTACTCTTAGACGCCCTTCTTTTCACCTGGTAACCGATGGATTGTCTGCCGTTATTATTGTTGGGTATCTGCTCCATTGCTGATTTTTATGTTCGTCGTCGTTTCGTCGATCTTCATCAACCGGTGTTGTGCTGATATGCTCCCTGCTTCCCGAAGGTGATGAGCAGGTTGTGATCGCCGACTTTTCGCAGTCTGCCTCCGTCTTCTAGCAGCCTGCGTGGCTCTTGATAACTCCGGCGACGTCTGAGCTTTTGTAATGTTTGAT